CAGCAGGGATTCGCTTGAGCCCAGGAGCATTGAGTGGTTGCCTGTGAGCCAGGCTGTATGCTGTGGACACTCACTCTAGCCTTGTGCAAACAGCTGAGACTCATGGTCTCAAAAAAAAAAAAAAATATAATGCCCTACTTGACCCAACCGCTTACATGATAAAACACACGCAGCAAACTTGAACATGCTGTCTTTTGTTTGGAAAGTCGTGGTCTGTGAGAGTTTGGTTTCTGGCACTGAATTAATCCACAGGCTTTGTGTCGCTGTCACTTTAGTTACATTCTCAGTGCAGGGCAAGGCTAAGACGCTAAGCGTTCGCGGTCAGAACCTGGGCCTTCCTTTTGCCTTTGGCCAAGAGGCCCCGGGACGAGGGGTGGCGGGCAGGCCAAGGAACCCGGAACGGTCGGAGCAGAAGGACGACTTACATTTTAAAATGATAAACTTTGGACTAAAAGTACCCGCAGGCAGTACAGCGAGCTACAGCGCAGCCGCTCTGGCAAAACGGCCGCTGCAAACATCTGAAAAGGCGCCGAGGCCCAGGAGAGCCGGGCGCGCAGCAGCCTCTGAGCGCAAGAGGGATTCGCGCGGCCTGGCCGGTCCCGGGCTCTCCCCGCCCCGGACTCCGCAGGGCCGCGGGGCCGCAGTGGGCCCGATCCGGAGTCCCGAGCCCCCGGCAGGTCCCCGCGCCCGAGCCGGCCGGTTCTCCAATGCGCCCCGGTGCCGCGGCCGTCGGGAGCCTGGGGCGCCGCCAGCGCACGACTCCCGGGGGGCAGGTAGAGCCCCGGGGAGCGATGGGGCGTGTCTTAGAGAGTTCAGGGGTACACGGCCACGCAGGGGCGGGACGGGCGCGCGTTAGGAAGGCTGGGTGGGGCGTTATGCGTAACGGCCGTGCTCCGGAGGGAGGGCGCGACCGAGCGGTCCGTCCCCGTGGTGTTTAAAGGCGCCCGGCAGTCCTGGGGCGGGGAGGGGCGGTCCCGAGGCCGGGGCGGGGCGTGTCGTAGAGGGAGGCGGGCGTGCACACAGCCGTCATCCCGGGACCCGGGCCTGGTGCGCGGGGCGGGGCGCTTTTGGCGGGGAGGTGGGGACGAAACGGGGCGGGTGTTCGAGAACTGGGGGTGTCACAGCCGAGCTGGGCGGGGTATGGAGCCGGGGGCGCGGCGGGGCGTGCCCTAGAGCTTGGCATGGGGGCGGGTCACCGCCGCGCTCTACCCGGGCTGGCGAGACGCAGTTTCCGCCCCCTCCCGTCGCTTCCTCCCTCCCTCTTCCCTTACTCCTCTCTGTCGCTTCCCCCATGCCCTCCGCCTCGTTCTCCTCCACCCCGCCTCGTGCGTCCGTCCCGGGCCGGGAACGCGCCTCCCGCTACGCGTTGGCGAATCCGAGGCCGCGCCTTCCCGGGGGCGCGCGCTCGCCCCGGACCTGCCGCCCCGCCGCCCTCGGGCGCCCACCCCGTCGCCGCCGCGCGCTCCCAGCCCCACGCCCGCGTCGGGGCCGCGTCCGGGGTTCCGCGCACCTGGCGGCGGGCGCGGCGCGTCCCGGGGGTCCACGCGCTCCCCTCCGCGCCGTGGGTCGCATGGCCGAGCGCTGGCCCGGGCGCCGGACTTTGCCCCGAGAGTCGCGCGCAGCCCGGCCCGGGAGCGCAGGGGACTCCGCCCACGGAGACCCGGGCTCCCGGGTGTGCGCCCTGCCCCCTTAATCCGTTTATCCTCCCGGCTCTGGGCAACTGTGCTAAAAACTGGTTTTCCCGGGTGTGCTCCTGCTGGGGACAGGGCTAAGGAGATGCGGATTAATCTGGGTTAGGCCGGGCGCGGGAAGCCCCCACCCTAGGAAGCTACCGCAGCCCTGGAAGTTCCTTTTCTTCCTTTCTGGAAGGGTCTTGGGGATTGCCCAGAGCAATGAAGCAATCAAGATGCCATTCCCAGCGTTTGCAATGTCCATGGAGGACGCTGGACGTCTATTAAATATCCTTAAGTCTGTGGGGGGAGGAACATTAAATATGATCCAGGTGAGATGGGCCCTCAGCCGTGGGGGCGGGCTGCCCCAGAAAGTGCAGCGTGTGTTGAAAACAAAGCCAGAAACCCCACCCTAAATTCACTGAGTTACAAGCTCCAGAAATGAGGGCGCTACCCCCACACCTCTCTGAAGTAGGGTGGAGGTGCTTGTTGGAAACTCTAGAGCCAGGAGTCCCACCCCCTAAATGGATTGAGTTGGAATACCCAGAAGTGGTGCTGGGGATTCCGTTTAGAAAAAAAAAGACCGTTGTCTTTTAATTGGCAAATTTGGTTTGCTTACATTTATTGGGCTGACGGGTCTGTGTGGGGTAAATTGGTGGGCTTTGGTAGTGGATTCTCTCTTTGCCCTGTTCCTCTAGAGGAGCTTTGGTGGATGAGGGTGTCTCGGTTGGGGTTCCCTACTGAGCCGCCATCCCATGGGAGGGGAGAAGGCCAGGCTGAGGCCTGCAACAGGTGGGTAGGCAGGAAACGGAGAGTCTAGAAGGAGCTCTGCATGGAGGTTTAGCGAGCTTGGGTGGGGATTCCATCCTGTAAAGTTTTCTGGGGGCGAAAGAAACAGAGAGAGAGCCAAACAACGTGGCTTTATTGTGCGCTCCTGGACGAGGTTCAAAGGTCCCAAGAAGGGGGGAGGATGAGAAGTCACATCCGTTTGGAGGGGGTTCCAGCCTTTATACTGTTTGGGGTGAGCTAGGCACTTGGCGGGAAGAGCCGGGGTGACCTTTGGTGGTCATTGAAAAGCAGGAGGGGCTGGTGGTATTTACAGATCCAAGAACAGAAAAATTTATTATCTGGGTAGATATCCAGGTGGTGTTTGTTTTCAGCGGGGCCTGGCAGGTCTGGTCTCGTTAGCCTTTTCTCTTTGGTCTAGGGAAGGGAGAAGGGCCTGCCACGAGCCTTACAAATCCTTTGAAGAAATCCCATGCTGCAAGGAGTAGAGCTGCCAAGAGCCTTGGGTGTGCTTCTGCAAATTATCTAAACATGCTGAGGGAATGTCTTGAGAGTTTAGGAATTTTAAGTGGTGCCGGGGGCAGTGGGAGCTACTGGCCTCGGAGGTACCGTTTGGGGAGGGGGGTTGTGGGAGTCGGGGGGGCTTTGATCCTGAGGTCTCACTTGACTTTAAGGGTGTGGAGACCCCATGCGGACTTTGGGTTCAAAGACATCAAGGGCAGGCGTGGGGCTGGATAAGGAGAGGCAGGTGGCCCTGCCTAAGTAGATCCTGAAGAACTCAGAGGTGCTGGGTGTGGTGGCTCAGGCCTGTAGTGCTAGCACTCTGGGAGGCTGAGGCAGGAGGACTGCTTGAGGTCAGGAGTTCGAGACCAGCCTGAGCAAGAGCAAGACCCCATCTCTGATAAAAATAGAAGGAAATTAGCCGGTTGACTTAAAATACAAAAAAAAAATTAGCCAGGCGTGATGGTGTGCATCTGTAATCCCAGCTACTCGGGAGGCTGAGGCAGGAAAATTGCTTGAGCCCAGGAGTTAGAGGTTGCTGTGAGCTAGGCTGATGCCACGGCACTGGAGCCCAGGTAACAGAGTGAGACTCTTGTCTAGAAAAAAAGAAACCTCAGAGGTGACTCTGAGTTCGGCAGGAAACCTGACATGGCTGGACAAAAGTGCTGGTCCTCTTCCCTGGCTCATGGCCATGAGGAAGAAACTGGGGCCCTAGGGGTTGACAAACTTCCATTTCTTTCTTTACCCCAGAAGAGAATTGTCTGGAGATGGATTTGGCTTTGGTTGTTCTCTGTGACAACCGGAGTTCTTGGAGGTCAGAGTGGGTAAGTTGAGGGAGTGTGGTCGAGAAGCAGAGGAGAGGCCTGGACCTAGAGACAGAAAGACCCGTGAGCTCCTGCCCCAAAGCAGACTGAGTTGCATCCCCGCTCCAAGTTCATAAGTTGGAGCCCTGACTACCCCCAGGACCTCAGACTGTGTTTGTGTTTGGAGACGGGTCTTTAGAGAGGTGATTAAGGTAAACTGAGGCACTAAGGTGGGCCCTGATCCAACAAGACCGGTGTTCATATAAGCAGAGGAGACCGGGACACAGACAGGCACAGAGGGATGACCCCCGTGAGGACACAGGGAGGAGACGGCGTCTGCACACCCAGGAGAGAGGACTCAGGAGGAAGCAGCCCTGAGTCACCTGGACCTGGGACTTCCAGCCTGCAGGACTGTGGGAAAATTCATTCCCGTTGTGTGAGCCACCCAGTCTGTGGTTTTATGTTTTGTGTTGAAGCCCTCACCCCCGAGGAGATGGTGTTGGCAGGTGGGGCCTCGGGGAGGTGATGGGGTCCTGAGGGTGGAGCCTCACGGATGGGACCAGTGTCCTTATAATAAGAGGGCCCCCAGAGAGCTCCCTCGCCCCTTCCACCACGTGAGGACACGGCGAGAAGGCGCCGTCTGTGAACCAAGAAGTGAGTCCCCGCCAGACACAGCCCCTGCCACGCCCGGATCTCGCCCTTCCGGCCTGCAGAGCTGCGAGCAATGAATGTTCTTTACACCCAGTTTATGGTATTTTTTTTTTGTCCCAGCAGCTCACCCGGACTAAGACATAGCTCCGTTGTCCGGTGACCTCCCCACCCCGAGTGGAGTGGGGGAGAAGCCTGCCAGTGCAGCACGGCTCCCGGATTCAGGGTTCGCTCAAGTCCCCTGGGGCGTTTGTTGGTCGCTTGGAAGCACAGCTTGTCCCTGTTCATGTGGACAGCAAACAGTCGCCGGATAAATGGGCTCGGCAGTCAGCTTGGGTTTTTACCTTCGGGGCCTGTGTCCCGTTCCTCTGCAGGTCTGCACGGAAAACCGGAAACACCTTCTCTCGGGACTCGTGCTGTTTTGGGGGCCAGGAGTCCTGACTGGATCACCCCAAAGCAGGAGGTCCATTGCTCTCCACTTCCCTGCCGGGCAGCTCTGCTGCAAAGTGCATTTTACTCTTTATTGTTCGTTGCTACTTTTTCTTGGCTTTTCCCCCCTCTTTTAACCTTTTATGTAAACGGATGTCTTAACTTCACGGAGGAGCGTTTGTTTCCACTTGAGCAAAAAAAAAAAAAAGAGCAGAGCCCGGGGCTCCAGCTTGTGCTCCTAGCAGCCGCTGTCTGTCAATCAGCTTCCTTGCGGGCGGCACCAGCAGAGCGGGAAGGGCCCACAGCAGGGCTGCAGCCAGGGCTTCCAGATGTTGTGCAGCCCGTCCAGCTGCAGGGGGGCCGGGCGCAGCGCCCGCTGGTGCCCCTCCACCGCCCGCTGGACCCTCCCCACCACCTCGTGGAACAAGGGCTCCGTGGCCGGCGTGAGAACGTGGCTCTCCGAAGGGTCTCTCGAGAGATCGAAGAGCAGAGGCGGGTGGTGGGGGGTCACCTTCTCCCCGAAGCACGGGCAGACCCCTCTCCCGTAGCAGGCGCCCGCTCCCGCCCGCTGGAACTGGGGAGTCACGTAGTGCACTTTCCAGACTCTTCCTCCTGGGGGAAAAAGGACAGGGATGGATCCCAGAGAGGTGACGGAGAGAAATAAAATGCATCGCTGCAGAGCAGAGTGGGTCACCAGAGCTAGAAGTTGGGAGAAGCAGCCCAAGTGCCCACGGATGGATGAACGATAAACAGAACGTCTTCCCCCCGCACGATGGAATAGTATTCAGCCACGGACAGGAATGAGAAACGCTGATATGTGCTACAACATGCACCAACCTTGGAAACATGGTGCTCAGCGAAAGAAGTCACCAAAGGGCGTGTGTTTGTTGTATGAGTCCGTTTACGTGGAACATCTAGAGTAGGTAAATCCGTAAGGACAGAAAGTATAATCGATCCAGGTGGTGGGGAATTAACTGTGGAGTCTGGGGTGCACTGCAGGGGCTGGTTTGGGTCCGGGAAATCTGTCTGGGAAGGTGACATTTGACTGAGGACATGACTGTCAGCAATGAGCCAAGCCGCAGGGAGATCCAGCCCACTGAGAGCGTTCCAAGTGGCTGGAACAGCTTGTGCAAAGGCACTGGGGCAGGGATGGTCTTAGGCTGTATTCAGAGCACAGGGCGGTTGGGGGTTGGGAATTGTAAGGTGCCAATTGTCTGAGCGGATGTCTCAGAGACAGGGAAGGGCTAGCTGGTGTCCCAGAGAGAAGCTTGGGTGTTATTTTATTTATTTTATTTTTTATTTTTTTGGCATCTGTGTGGCGAGTCATCTTGAGGAGCCATTCAGCACAGGCAAAGTGGACCTGGGGGACGTGGAACACGGCACTGTTTGAGATGCACGGGTGGTAGGAATACACTGCCCATCTCTATCTTTCTACCTTGAAAAAATTTTTTTTGACATATTCTTCCAATGAGTGAGAACCTTCAAGGGCAACAGATATAATATGTAATCTAAGAACCCCAAAATGTAGCAATTAAAATCATCCCAGATTAGACTACTGAGAAGGATGGAAAAGAAGGAGATTTTAAAAAACAAACAAACCTATAATTCTTTTAAATAAGAGAGGTCTCAGAAAGATACCCATTCAGGGATGTGTTGAGACAATGCCTTGGAGATTCTTTAAGCAGAGTGAGTCACAAGCAAGGCATCGATCTTTGCAAACACGGGAAGAAAAACCACCCCAAGTGCACGAAGCAAAGTGAAGAAGCGTAGGAAGCAAAGCAAATTAACGGAGAGGGAAATATAAGTGAAGAAAAGAGAGGCGGGCAAACTCAATATAGGTGAGACGTTCTCATATGCACAGAAAGACAGAGGCAGACATCATGCGCTCTCCTTCAAAAGAAAGGATCCCATCGTTAAGAAACTGCAGGAGCAATTTCTGGATTTTTAAAATGACAGGTAACAGAAAACCGGTGGCAAACTCGAGTGAACATAGCCATTATTACTAAGGTGATTAAAATACAATGAAATTACTTGGCAAGGGCATATGTGCTTGATGAAATGAATTTTTTTTTTTTTTAAGTAAGAATAAATAAGTAAGCAAAGAAACATGGCACGTTTCAGTTTGGGTCGATCCAGTGTTGTGAAGCTACTTATGCATCAAAGGCAAAGTTAAAGGATCCATCCAGTGCAATGATGATTAATGTCTCCGTGGGACGTATTTTTAAAAGTTTTAAAAGTGGCAAATGATTTTTATAGCTCTTTTGTGGGACTTTGGGGCCAAGAGAGCCTAAGAAAATTTAGAGACCCAGAAAATATTCAGTAAGTGTACAGCCACTCTTGTTACAAAGTTGTCATTGTTACAATGAAGCTGAAATTGTGTGATTAAGCTAGGGCGGCTGAAACATTTGGAAACACATCCAGATGGCTAGAATAGATTAGAAAAGTCTCAGACGCCTAGATACATGTTAAAGGGGCGGCCTTGCGGAAATATCAGGGAAATACCTAATTCTGCAGTTTCCCCAGGGACAGTTAAAGATCACTCCTTGTGAGTTCTGTCGCCAGCAGGCACCTGCAGGAGTTCTGTTCTGCACAGCCTCTCAAAAGAGCTGAACGGACGGAAGAGAGACGTAAATCTCTGCCTTTCACAATTGCTTTGTGAGAATCTGCTCTTGCGGAGTTCCTGAGTCCACAGGAGGAGAATGAGCTCCACCCTCAACCACACCTCCAGGACAGAGCCACATCACTGGGGACAATTTACCCTTCTCCAAGAAAAGGTGGGGGAAACCAAGTCTTGCACTTTGACACCCTGCTGCTGCTCTTCTTTGTTTAATCAACTGACAGCCGTCACTATTTTATTTCTCTCTTGGTCCCCCTTAAAAATCAGCGAGCCACTTGTTCCCCCAAACAATGAGCACACGCGTGTGTGTGTGTGTGTGTGTGCGCGTATGTGTGTGTGTGATGATAGAAGCTGCTCTTCACATCTTGGGGAAGAGAAGGAAGGTAGTAAAACAATTTCACACACGGCGCATAACACATAGGAGAACAGAGCCCATTCCGAATGGTAAGAAGATTGACAGGTGACCTCAGAAGGGATGTTGCTGGAACAAGGGAGACGTACGTTGCCAAGAACTAAATTTTAGGCCAGGCGCGGTGGCGCACACCTGTAATCCTAGCACTCTGGGAGGCCCAGGTGGGAGGATTGCTCAAGATCAGGAGTTCGAAACCAGCCTGAGCAAGAGTGAGACCCCGTCTCTACTATAAATAGAAACAAATTCATTGGCCAACTAATATATATAGAAAAAAATTAGCCGGGCATGGTGGCGCATGCCTGTAGTCCCAGCTACTCGGGAGGCTGAGGCAGGAGGATTGCTTGAGCCCAGGAGTCTGAGGTTGCTGTGAGCGAGGCTGACGCCATGGCACTCACTCTAGCCTGGGCAACAAAGCGAGACTCTGTCTCTAAAAAAAAAAAAAAAAAAAAAAAGAACTAAATTTTAACAGCCAGTGTGAAAATTGAAAGCTGTGATAATGTAGAGAGACAAGAACACAGAAGCCGGGATGTGACGCCCACCCCCAGGCTCTTCTGGGGCTCCTGTGCTTTGATGCCACCAAGGGCACCCCTTTCCCAAAGGCAGTTGGGACGGAGTCCCGCTACTCACTGTCCCGTTGGTGCCAGCGGGCGGCGTGCAGAAACACCTCGCAGTAGTGCAGCAGGAACTCGTGGTCCGAGTGCTGGGCTGTCCCCAGCAGCAAAGGCAGCAGGTCCCGGCCGTCAATCACTCTGCAGAAAGGTGCGGGAGGGACTCAGACATGCTGTAAGGATGCCCCCGCGGGGACCTGCCCAGGGCCAATGTGCTGCATTCCCCTTGGAAGGAAGGTGCAGGGTGAACGTGGAGGAGAAGATAGAAGGCGGGCACCATCCTTAGCAAGCATGCAGCAGCTGCCGAAGGACAAATACTGCCTTTGGCTAAGAGGATTACCTGGGGAACCACCTTGTTTGGCTTCATTGAGTGTCACACCACTCAGCCTTATTGCGAATGCAAAAATGAGACAAGCATTTGTCCAAACGCCTTGCTGTTTTGACATACCGTGTTTCCCCGAAAATAAGACAGGGTCTTCTATTTATTTTTCCTCAAGAAGACACCCCAGGGCTTATTTTCAGGGGATGTGTTATTTTTTCCCTCAGAGCCTCAGCTTGCAGCACGTACAGGGTGGCCGGGACCCGACAGGGGGAGCTGACCTTGTTGGTGGGGCTGCCCGCACCTTCCCGGTCACCTCTGGGATAGTTGCTGTCACGATGGGGCAGATGAGAAGGGCTGCTCGTGTTCTTTCCCGCTCCGCGACGACACGCACGGGTTGTGCAGAGCGCTGCGCAGCCACGCCCGTCACTAGGGCTGATTTTCATAGCCACGCCCATCACCAGGGCTGATTTTCATAGCCACGCCCAGCACTAGGGCTAATTTCCATAGCCACACCCATCACCAGGGCTGATTTCCATAGCCACGCCCATCACCAGGGCTGATTTTCATAGCCACGCCCACCACTAGGGCTGATTTTCATAGCCACGCCCACCACTAGGGCTGATTTTCGGGGTAGGGCTTCTATTGCGTACATGCTTAGAAATCCTGCTAGGGCTTATTGTATAGGTAGGTCTTATTTTCGGGGAAACACGGTAGTATTGGGCTTTCAGTCACTACAGAACATGTTCTTTAAGAAAGCTTCACGCTGGTCCTGTTTGTGGAGAGTCCCTGGACTAGCATTTCCTCATTTCTGTAGCCTACCCTTTCTCACTTTCTAGATACCGCTTGTTTTGCAAAGGCAAGCTCTATCTTCTTGGCATTGCACTTCCTTTTTGGACACCCGGCTTAGCACAGAGGTTGAACCCACCTGTTTGGATTTGCAGCGATAACTGTGCACTTTGCTTTCCAATTACAAGGGTAGTTGCTATGGGATGAGAAATATATCTGCATCTTTTTCACTTTCCCCCTAAACACCTGCTAATAAATATATGCTGATGGAACCGGAACATTCATTTTCCACATGGTTGAAGGTGATGAAATTTTCCTTTAAGAGGTCAAGTTGCAGTGACCTTATTTAATTTATCTTAAATTATTTTGAAGGCCTTGCGGGATCTTGTATCTCAAAGTCAATCGTAAATACCGGTGGTACATTTTCATAGATGCCACGAACTTAGAATAGCAATAGATTGAGGATTTATAAAAAAACAGGGTTAAGGTTCTCAACCCAGGTAGAAAATTCAGAACCCCAAATAGATTGTGCTTGGTCAAAGTTACCATGAAAAAAATGAAATAAAAGACAAGATATATATAATCATATATGCACACACATACATATGTGTATGTTTGTGTTTGCCTATATACGAATAAAACTAACTAATAATGTATAGCTAAATTTACCTTACCTTCTAATAAAATGCATTTGCAATATATACGATAGGTGAAAATTTTCTTTTCAAAACACAGGACATGTTATAAATTAAAAAAAATATCCAACAGGACATGTAATTCAATGTAAAAAAAAAAGAGAAATGTAGAATAAATGTATAAAAATTTTAACATTGCTAGTGATAAAGCAATGAAAATTATAACATATGTGTGTATATATAAAAATTATATAACATATATAATACACTTATAGATACACACATGTATAAGTATAAGTTATGTATACACAAATAGTTCTAAATGATTTTAGGTCTATTGTTTTTAACATGGACACTATCATTCATGGCTGGTAGCAATTTCTAGGGTAGAATTTGACAAAATATATCAAGAGATTGGCCTATAAGTGGCCAAATTGTTGACCCAGAAATTCAACTTCTAGAAATTTTTCCTAAGGACGTAATTGTAATAGGCACTAAAATGGTAATATGGTATTTTTTTAAGCAGGGCTAATGGGCCACCCATGAGGGGTAGAAGGAAGAAAACAAAATTTGAAGCCATTATAATTTGTATCTATATACAACATATATACATATATAGTACAATTTAAATATGTGTTCTTCCCTAAGCTATCAAGATTATGAAAAAAAATTTTCTATTTCCTCCCAAATGATTTTTTTATAACTTTTAAGACAAGGAAAATTGGAATCCTAGAAAAGTCCCTGCCATACTGAATCAAAAGTAATTTATTGTGAATGTTGCATTGTCAGATTTTTCAATGAAAATCTCTCTTATAATAAAATATGCTCCACTTAAGAATTAGGAAAAGAGAGATAGACATTTCTGTATATAAAACTGAACCGACATTTGATCCCAGCATTAAATAATAGAGCTGGGAGTGCTTTCCCAGATACTGATTTCATAAATGTTTTATGACAATGCAAAACACACAGTATCATTTGCCTTAAATGTCAATTTCTCTACTCAAAGTTTTTATTTTTTATTTTTTTTTTTGAGACAGAGTCTCACTCTGTTGCCCAGGCTAGAGTGAGTGCCGTGGCGTCAGCCTCGCTCACAGCAACCTCAGACTCCTGGGCTCCAGCGATCCTCCCGCCTCAGCTTCCCGAGTAGCTGGGACTACAGGCATGCGCCACCACGCCGCTCTTGCTCAGGCTAGTCTCGAACTCCTGACCTTGAGCGATTCTCCCACCTCGGCCTCCCAGAGTGCTGGGATGACGGGCGTGAGCCACCATGCCCTGCCTCTACCCAAAGTTGAATGGCTTCTTTTGGGTGGTTCCGTACCTGTCCTGGGGCACCTGGCCGCCCCCCAGCTGCACCACGGTGGGGAACACGTCCATCAGACTGGTGGGCTCGGTGACAACCCGGCCGGCCGGCAGCACCCCGGGCCAGCGGAAGATCCCTGGCACGCGGATCCCGCCTTCCCAGCCCCCCATGCCTTTGCCACCTGCGTTTCAGCAGAAATGGAAAAAGAAAAAAAGAATAAAAATCAGAAGTAGATAGATGGTTACTCTGGTTGATTCAACCTTATTTTGCTTAAGTCTCTCTTTCTCTATTTTAATCAAATCATAACATCCTATGGTTTCCCCTTGCAGAAGATAGATTTTATATTCTTTTATTAACCTGGGTGTAGGTTAGGGTGGATTGGATCAGGGTGAGCCCTTCCTCCCAAACGACAGGTGTCTGTCCTTATGAGAAGAGGAGATGCAGACGCGGAGGAGAAGCCACGTGGAGACAGACGGAGGAGGCAGAGACGGGAGTGACGCTGCGGCCACAAGCACAGGGACGCCTGGAGACCCTGGGAGCTGGAAGAGGCAGGATATTTTGGGGGGGCTCTTATTGTTTCTATCACAGTGCTCATTGGAGTTCCTGTGATTGCTGTCACTTTGCTTTGACAGCTCCAGATCCTTGCCCTGGCTTCTTTCAGGGTGCATACGTAGGTCTCCTCTTCCGGACGCACTGTGTGTTTTGCAATAGCTAAGGGAAGAGGGACTGTCGGGGTGTAGCTGTACCTGCCCGTGTGCATCGAAACTTGCAGAGTGATGGGCTCAGGGACATGGAGGGAAAAAAAATCCCTTTAGAGCAAGAGTGTAGCACGTTTAAAAGAGGCTGTGCCCCTGGTACACTAAGATGTCGGGTGCAGAGAACACCAATGAAGACGGCACTGAGATTTTGCAGGAATCGGACCCTAGACATGAAGAAGTTCTTGGAAAGCATTAGCTGATTTAATTTGCACGCATGTATTCCCTTTCATGCATGAACTAGACGGGCGCTTCATAGGCATGTTTTTGCCAACGTCCATCTAAACAGCTCTTTCACGGAATAAAAAATGAAGCTTTCTAAGTTAAAAGGGAAAAAAAAAAGTCGCAGCCGTGCTAAGCTACGTATATTGAAGAACACGTTTCAGAGTCTTTCTGGTGCATGAAACCATGGTGTGCCTATAATGCTAGAATCCCAGTTTGATTGTAATGGGGCCACCTGGGTGCCCAGCCTTCTTGGATGCATTGCCCGAACTTAAAATTCAAACCTGCGTCTATCGGTAAACAGATAGGCAAACCGAGTATGGTGTACACGCGCAATGAGGCAGCGCTCGGCCGTAGAAATGAAGGAAGCCCTCATACCCGCTACGAAGTGGCTGAACCTCAAACACATTGTGCGAAGGACATTAGCAACGCACAAAGGACCACACGTTGCACGGTGCCATTGGCATGCAATGGGTATGCAGAGCTGGAAGACACGTGGGTGGCCGGCCGGGGTCCGGTGCCGTGAAGCGAGGACTGATTGCTGTGAGTGTAAGAATTCGTTTAGTGGCGATGAAAATGTCACAAAATCAAACAGTGGTGATGGCCGCGCACCTCTGAGAGTCTACTAAAAAACACTTAATGGTGCGAAAGAAAAAAAAAAATAAAATATATATATATGAGACCTGAGCGTGGCAGATTATAATTTTTGCCCTGGCTAGGCAACGCCAACGAGGTGTTTGGGCAACGGTATTCACTGTCCTGGAGTGGGGGGCCGCATGCCAAAGGAGCAGGTGGGGACCCCAAGGGGGAGACGGAGTCCGGAGACCAGGACGTGGGGATCCCTCAGCCTCACCTCTGTATACGCCGTTCCAGCCTCCGTACTGGCGGTTCCCATGCTGGGACTCTAAGGAGCCCCCGTTGTCCGACGTGAAATAAACGAGGGTGTTGTTGGTCACGCCCTCCCGGTCCAACATGCCAAGGATCTGCCCTGCAAAACACGGATGTGCTCGAGGCGGCCGGAATGGAGGGGTGTCTTAAACCCGACTGCCCGGCGTGTGGCGTCTCCGGCAAAGCTGCCGGGACGGAAGGGGTGCTGCACGAAGCGGCAGCACTTCAAAGTGAGGCAGACCGAGAGTGCGGAGAAGGAAGGAAGGATGCACCGAAATGCCACCGACAGAGACCAGTTGTGACCGCTGACTGTCTCAGAGCCGCACGAAAGGGGATTCTGTCGTTCATATAATTCACAGTGCCCTAGAGAACTTTTAAAAAAAATTAGTTAACTGGGATTATGTTATTTTTATCTCTAACAACAGGCAAGGCTTTCTCCCAGTGTGCCGGTAAAGAGGACCGAGTCTCGCGACTGTCCTGTGGCCTCACGTACAACCCTCTCTCGGGATGCTTTGACTCCTAACCTGCCTGTGTCGTTATATTAAAGTTTAATTCTTTTGGTTGGGTCTTGCTTTTTTCATGCATAAAAAAGCAGATTTTGTCTGTTGTTAGAAATGAAAAATATTCTGTCTACTAATGAGATTAGGGACAGGGGAACATCTTTGGGGACATCGCATTCTGTTTCCCATCGATGTGATTAGGACGGGACATCTCTGGGAATTATTCTTTTCTACCACTGGATTAGAGATGTTGGACAGTCTCTGGAGAACGATTATTCTGTTACCACATTGGGATCTGGAGGGACGTGGACATCTCTGGGATATTATTCTGTTCTCCCACATGGGATAGGATGTGGACATCTCTGGGGGACATTATTCGCTGTCTACCACATGGGATTAGGACGTGGACATCTCTGGGGACATTATTCTGTCTACCACATGGGATTACGGCGTGGACATCTCTGGGGATGTTATTCTGTCTACCATGTGGGATTATGACATGGACATCTCTGGGGACATTATTCTATCTACCACGTGGGATTAGGACGTGGACATCTCTGGGGAGATTATTCTGTCTACCACATGGGATTAGGACGTGGACATCTCTGGGGACATCATTCTGTCTACCACATGGGATTAGGACGTGGACATCTCTGGGGACATCATTCTGTCTCCCACATGGAATGAGGACGTGGACACCATCCACTTACCCACCATCCAGTCCATCTCTTCTACGTTGTCACCATATAGCCCATGGAGACTTTTTCCAAGGAAGTTCTCGGTTGTGACGAGCGGAGTGTGCACGTGTAGAAATGACACAAGGAGAAGGAAAGGTCTTTGCTTATTTCTGAAAATAAACAAAAAGCCACTAAGGTCACTTTTTTGGTGAAACCGAGATCAAAGTCTTGTAGACACCAAACACAGACCTCAATTGTCACATTCTTACTATGCTCATGAAGGGTAAATGTGCAAAACCCTAGTTCAACAGGACTTGTTCTCGTGTTTAGAATTTCCAAGATGACGGCTTTTCCCGTTGGAAATCTATTCAAATGTCCACACCGAATTTATGCATTTTTTTTCCTCCCTGAACGTTACAATTTTCCAACTGTATGAATTTATGACAACGGAAAGTTAAAACGACACCAGGCTACTGTCTGAGCTGACAAATTTATCTTGTTCAGTTATTTCAGTATATTTTTTTTTACGTCAAATCTTAGCTTAAAGAAAAAGTAATTAGAGATGGAGTAGTCAAAGAGAAAGAAAGAAAGAAAGAAAGAAAGAGAAAAAGAAAAAGAGAAAAAGTGATGGCACACACTCAGTTCAGTTTTCTTTATAATTTTGGTGAAGTCATGAGATTTAGGACATACAATAGTTATCAAAAAACACACTTTAAAAATGGGGCATGTTAGCTTATTAACGTCAGTTGATTTCCTTCCTTTTAGGCAATGCCTCAGTTTACCCCTCCGACCGCCTGATCTGTGTGGTCTCCTCTAGACCCTCAAAGCATGTAACTAAAGGCGAGGCCCTGGGCGTTAATGGCAACACGGCACCCTCGCCTGCTTCAGTTTGCGGGCTGGCGGTCAGTGCTGTTTCTCACCTGCACACGCAGTTCCAAACACACTGTCCACGCGCGTCGCAGAGCATGACCGCAACCTCGCTGCCAACCGGGCACGTTGGCGCCTGGTGCTATCACCGTCTTACCTGGAGTATTTTACGCTCCGGGACAGAGGCGTAAAATATAATCTATTGCAAAGGCTCTTGAGGTGACGCAGTTTGTTTTATGTTAGTTAAACACGGCCCCGGGGGAGCAGAGGTTGCTGTTGGCCTGGGGTCGGCCTCAGAACAGGACCTGCAAACTCCAGCTGACCTGGAGCAATGTTTCCATGCAAGGTCCCCAACCTACGGTGAGTTGCGTGATTGTTTCATTACGTATCGCAGTGTAATCACAATGGGAATCAAGTGCACAACCAATGCAATGCTCTTGAATGATTCTGAACCCCTTCCACCACCCCACCACCCCGAGTCTGTGGATAAATTGTCTTCCATGAAAATGGTCCCTGGTGCCAAAAACATCGTGGACCGATGTTTTCAGGGACATGAATCACAGGGCTCAACTGACCATCATGGATGCCCCGTTTTGCCAAAAAAAAAAAAAAAAAAAAATTAAAGAGAAAGTTTTTTTTGGGTCATGGCCATTGCATTGTTCAAGTAGCAATTAGAGAAAACTATTTGGCTTGTATTTCCCCAAGCTGACCCACCCGTGCCCACCTTTTTTTTTTTTTTTTTGACAGAGTCTCACTCTGTTGCCCAGGCTAGAGTGCCATGGCGTCAGCCTGGCTCACAGCAGCCTCCAAGCCCTGGGCTCAGGCGATCCTCCTGCCTCAGCCTCCTCCCAAGTAGCTGGGACTACAGGCATGCACCACTATACCCGGCTAATTTTTTCCTCTATATTTTCAGTTGGCCAATTAATTTTCTTTCTATTTTTTTCAGTAGAGACGGGAGGGGTCTAGCTCTTGTCTCAGGTTGGTCTCGAACTCCTCGAACTCAGGTTGGACCAATCCTCCCGCCTCGGCCTCCCAGCGTGCTAGGATGACAGGCGCGCGCCCCCCCACGCCCGGCCTCGGCCTCGGGGGTGCCCACCTTTTGAGGAAGGCCGCGGCGTCCTCCAGGAGAAGGGGCGTGGTCCTCTGCAGGCGCATGGGCTGCTCGGTGACGGCGTGGTCCCGCATCAGAAAGCAGTCCGCGTGCACAATCAGGGTGCCCAGGGAGCGCGCGGCGGCGAGAAGGAGGACGGCCACCACCGCCGACCCGATGACGACCGGCGTCCACGGGAGCGGCGGCTGCAGGCCTGCGAGCTTCCCCGCGGCCAGCGCGAGGGCGGCCAAGGCCACCACTGCGCGCAGGCAGAGGTGGAGCCTGCGCTCCAGCCCCGCGCGCTTCTCGGACAGCTCTCGGACAGCTCCCAGCGGGCGCAGTCGCCCATCATGGAGAAGGGCATGCCGTAGAAGTGCTCGAACCCGTGCCGCAGCGGGTGGTGGCAGTGGTCGGAGGACGAGTTGCAGTTGAGACCCAGATGCCATTTTCCTGAGGGGCAAAGGGCGAACGAAACGCATGTGGCTGGGAGCAGTGGGGGCCCGTCTCTGGGTGAGCGGTTTTGGCCGCTGGCAGCTGGGCTTTGGGGTTAGCCATGCGGAGAGGTGTGGGTGCCAGTTAGCTGTTACTATGCGCCCCAGCCGGGATGTGCCATTTCAGGGCAATGAGGCCTCTGTGTGTGGCCGCCTTGTTATATTTGAGATTCACAAGGCCGCAGGACAGAGAGACAGGGCCACCGAGGCTGTAATTATCAAAAGGAGTTTTATTGTCTAGCTCGAGCTAGGGTCCGAGCCCCCAGAGTGCCAAAGGCCAGCGCAGTGGCCTCTTTTTTGGGCCAGGGCCCCCCCTTTGTGTGCTAGTGACCCTTTTTATTACTCCAGTTGTTTACCGCACCGGTCATCGCATCCGCCCCACCGGTGATTCTTACTTCATCCTGCCCCGTATAGGCTCTAACCTATCCGGGTCCTAGCCTGAGAGACTCGGGTTCCACCCTACTTTGTCTTTTTTTTTTTTTCCTGGCATCCCATAATGTACTCATATTGCCCTTGCGGTTAGCAAACAAGCAGTACACAGAAGCTGGAAGGTGCCTATTGTCTTTATAGCCCAGCATCCTACAGCCCTTCCCTGGCATATTAGTTTCCTACGACAGGTGCCGAGAATGACCGATCCTTTGAGGAAGGCCGCGGCGTCTCCCAGGAGAAGGGCGTGGTCCTCTGCAGGCGCATGGCTGCTCGGTGACGGCGTGGTCCCGCATCAGAAAAGCAGTCCGCGTGCACAATCAGGGTGCCCAGGGAGCCGAGGCGCAGCAGGAGACGGCCACCACCCGCGACCCGATGACGACCGGCGTCCACGGAGCGCGGCTGCAGGCCTGCGAGCTTCCCCCGCGGCCAGCGCGAGGGCGGCCCAGGCCACCACT